CCCCAAAACCCCAAAACCCCAAAACCCCGATTGATATATTTTTGGCTGAATTTCTTATTCCCTAAAATGGAAAAAATGAGGCAACTCATTACAATCAGCAAATATTGCCCGAAAGTTTTGTTACTCGTGGCTATGAAGCTTTATTATCCCTACATGATGAAGAAGTGGTTCAGACAGTATAAGAATGTTGCAGTTTGTGAAGATTTCAATCTTATTTATGGAGACCAAGGTAACTTTCAGTAAACAAGGGTTCACTGTGAAGCCATAAAGCTTATTTTACTATTTTATTTAAAACTTTATTTTTGAAGTGTAGAAAATAGAGATATAGTGTCCAGATGTGATTAGTACTATCCCAAACTTTGTAAGATTCTTTAGTGCCCTTTGAACCCCTTTATAAATTCTTGCTGAAACGGTTCAAAAAGATGCATGAATCTTGAGAGGACTCGAGGATGTTAGCGTCTCGAGTAACACTTTGATCGCAAACTATTATATTCTTGACCAAAGAAATAGCATTAGATGTCGACATTTTAAAATTATAGTAGAAGAGTAAATTGATGACTCATAAGATATTTGAAATTTATCTAATGGTTTTAAGTAATATGTCGCTGAAGGAATAGTTTGGGAGCAGTACCTCTGGTAAAAACTCTTGGAATTCTGTCCTGTATATATTTTCAACTATAACTGTTTTATTCTCTTTCTCTTCTCTATTTGTGCAAGTTTCACATTTAAAATAGCTGGTGAAAATGATTAAGAATTCTTTAGTACATTTTATATTAAAACTTTTATTTTTATGACGATGTTAGGAGGAGTTAATACCCTTAGGAGGAATGAAGGAACTTGTTATGGATAGATTAGGCAAGCTTAGATTTGATTCTGAAATTTGAGAGTAAATTTTTAAGAAAGCTTAGGATATTAAGAATTTAGTTGTAACAGTTGCTTGGAATGAAAATTATTGTTACCATAAGAATTTTCAGGTGAAAACAGCTCATTTCTAAACGTGAGGCCTTATTTTCTTTCAATATTAAAATTTTAATGTTATATGAGAGTGATTATATTTTAGAGTTTTCTATTTTAAATAAACATTTTCAGAAAATTTTTTAGGATATTACTCTTGAGGAGACGGACCTTTTAAAATTATAATTAAGAAAGAATATAAATCAGGGGATTATTAGTGCTCTAACTCTGGATTTTACACTATAAACTTTCATAAACCAGGAAAATTTCAGAATTTATTGAGTAAAATTATAACTGAAATTCAATCCAATCATTTTCTCAACAGTTTGTATAGTTCAAATAAAAGAAGTTAAGGTCTGACTTGAATCAATCTTATTTCCAAAATGCAATTAAACATTTCGTCTCTGTAACCTTTTCAGTAAACACCAGAAATAACAACAAATTTTGAATACATGCTAAAAATCAATATCATTCATATAAAATCCAAAAAACAAAAGCTGACTATATTTATTCTCTAAAACCTAATTCACTGTTTCCTTTTAAAGCACGAAGTCTAAGCCAACCAATTTTATAGTAACTACCGCAAATTTTTTGCGCAAATCCTTCAAATTTTAAGAACTTTGTGAAGATTTTGCAAAATCCCAATTCTTAAAAACTCTGAAAATGTAACTATTTGGAGACCTGTTGTTAGAAACTTGCTACAATTTTGTTTTATAGATAGAAGAAAGATGATCAATAATGGAGGAACTGAGATCCAGATGCATGTTGATGGAGTTCTTGAGAATAAAGAGTTAGACTTTAAATTAGAGATTTATTACAGTGGAATCTGGCTTCATGTTTATACTCCGAGAGCTATTAGAGAAACAGTTGCTCTTGTTCCAGATAAAATAGATCGTTCAGATTATGAAAAGTTTAGCTTTGGAAAGCTCTGACCTTATTCTTTTGAAAGGGTAAGATTAGTTTAATCTCTGTAGCAAAGAACATCCAAAGAGTGGAAGATCAGGAAAGAAGCTATTTTGAAGCATACGCCTCTTAAGAAGCCAAGTGATCATATCTTAATGATGCTTCAAAAGATCAAATATGAATCAAGCAAATGGGAGGTTGACCAGCCAATCGATATCATTCTGTTTTTTAACAATTTATCTCTGGACATGGTTTGTATGACTCTTTTTGGAAGTGATTTTATGGAGAGTCCATTAAAATGCCCATACATAGATGAAAATAATAGAACTAAGAATATATCCCTTCCTCAAGCAATATTAAATATTTCTACTGATTTAGACGAGAGTTACTCTTACCCTATATCTCAACACTTGCCTGTGATCAACGAGAAGAGTTTAGGAAATCCCTATAAGAGAGATAAGAAGAATATCGAACAAACCCAAAAATCATTAGCAAACTATTTAAAAATTAAAGGTGTGTTTTTCTCATTAGGATTTTTCTAATTTTTTAATTTAGGCATCTTAAAAGTAAGCTCTTCCAAGTCAGCTTAATAGGATGGGTTTCATCATAAGTTCACAGAGATCTCAGAAGAACAGGTTATAGAAGACTACCTTAATGTGATAGACGCTGCTGACGATACTTTGGATATTTGTCTTGTAAGCTGTCTTTTCAGGCTCAAACAAAATTCTCATGTACATCGCAAGCTAGTTGAAGAACTCAAGAGTTGTGGAATTACAGCAGCAATAGATGATATAAGTGAGTTAACAGCTGACAAACTTTCTGATTGCGATTACCTTACCTATGTAATAAAAGAATGCTTGAGAATGGACCCATCTTCCATTTGTACAGCTCCGTATATGACTTATGAAGATGTTGAGATTTGTGGAGTAAGAATTCCCGCAAAAATGAACTTGGTATTGAATTTCAGTAAAGCTTTAAACCATAATGATTTAGTTGGATGCCATTACAACTCGGACCAATGGCATGAGCCTACTAGATTTATCCCAGAGAGATTTGATCCCAGTAGTGAGTATTTCCTGAAGCCTGGAACAGGTAATCATAATAAGATAACAGTAAAGATGATGTTAGAGATCCATTGGCATTCATAGCATTCTCCACAGGAAAGAGGTCTTGCCCTGGCATGCCATTTGCACTGACTCAAATAAAGGTGTACTTGTCCTTCCTAATCTCTAAATTTGATTATTCCATCGAACAGGAAGTATTGGAAAACCCAAAAATGAGATTTGGACTAGATTCCCATTTCAAGCTTGAAATAAAAATCACGAAAAGGTATTAAAAGAATTGTTCTAGAGCTTTCAATTCTCGGTGATCAAAACGGGGTTTTGGGGTTTTGGGGTTTTGGGGTTTTGGGG